TTATAAAAAGACTTACAAAAACATTTTTATGTTAAATTTCAAATGCATAAAGTACCAACAAAAATTTAAATAAAGACAATTATTTATCGTGAACATGTCTTTTCGTCTCATTTTTCTTCGGTGGAAATGGAAAATATATGAGCAAGAACGCTTTCAAGCGGCTCTGATGACCATGAAAATGACCTTTTAAGTCGGATCTTTAGTTCGACTATGACTAACACAATGTTATATCTGACCAAAGTAAGAAATTTTAAAAGAAATAAGATGAGCGTCGTCGCTGTGATTTCTAACGGGCGAGTAGGTACAATTTAACATTCCAATATAAAAGCTTATGCTAACCCCGCGTGGCATTTTTCCGACGGCAAACCATAAACCAGTACAGCACTCAAGCGATTAGCACAACACGACACGGTATTTGCTAGGTTTCAGCATCCGTCACGCTAGCTCGACTTATCCGAACTAAACAGATCAGCGCTCACGAAAGCCTCGTAGTCAAACACGCAAATCCAAACGCCACTGTTCGACCTGCACTTCTTTTGTTTACATTTCAAAACAAAACTCGCAGTAGGACCACGTTGCAGGACCTTAAGTTGTTAGAGTTTTAAACATATAAGTTGGACATAGGATATATATCAATAACGCTCCCAGCACATTTCCGAGCGTCATTCATAGACTCCTATGCGTAACGCATACTGCACGTTGCATCGAATCCACGGCCGATTAAATTCTTAAACTTGGCAACTGCGCGAACTCAACTACCACGCAACCATCCGATGTTCTCTTGTCGCATATGTCCATTTATAATTTAATCTGACCGCAATGTCAAGATGTTTACGTTCCAAAGACATCAGAATAGGGAAAATGGATTTGTTATTCGAATTCATTGTTTCGTCACGAATTTATCGTTATCTTGTCAAAAAACTTTTTTGTCAAATACTTAAGCACCTAGTGGCTTAGATTCAATTCTTGCAAATTTAGTTATTCTGTCATTACAATAATATTTTAGCAAATTGCATTCGTAATCTGGCATAGGAGTGGAAAAATGGGTTTTAATCTTCAGAATTTAAATAAAGACCCATTAACATTTAATGCCCGTTTTAGACGCGAGTTCAAGATGAGACTTTCAGTTAAACTCTTATAACTTCTATTTAAGTACACACGCGTCCTCGGCACTTTTCGATTCGGCAGGATTGACTGCTGAACTACTAAATTTATGTAACCTATGAATTCCTCACAGATCTAATATTTGACGGTCAAGAGGAATTTAATAGTCAATTAATAATGCACAACTTAGAAATAATAAAGCATTTTGTCTTGTTAATAATAATAATAATAATTGATAAAGGATCTAAAATATTTCGTTGTGCATCTGTATAATTTCAAATTCAAAAAATGCGATCGTGGAGTATTTATTTCATTAGAGTGGTTGGCAATTTTGGTAATTTTCACTGTTGGAAATTTTCGCGTAAATGGTTTCATATCGCTTATCAAATTGATCGTGCCCATATGTGCATGTGTGCGTAACTGTTACGTAACTAGTTCTTAACATTTTTCCAACACACGTGCTCAGAATCCCAACTGTTTGCTCAGTTTCGTAACTGTATTGTAAGCTGTTTAAATGCCCATGGATAGGCTGCATTTCATTTTAATGTAATTATATCGTATTTTTTTACTAAATTTAATTACAAGTCGAAAGTTATGAAATAAAAGTCATAGATGCTGCCTTTATTATTGTCTATTATATTGAAAGAACCTACGACTGCACTCAGGGAATAAAAATAGCTCTAAACTAGCACTAAATTAGTTAATTTCGGAAGTTCAGTCTGAAAGACTTGAAAACAAGATATAGTCTTGTTTTCAAGTCTTTCAGACTGAACTTAAAACACTTAAATTCACTTTAACCCGAAAATATTAATATAAATCGTTAGACATTCATAATATCTATTATTTGTTTTATTTTACTTCAAAACTCATTTTCTTTTCATTGACACGCCACTCGCGAGAATCTCTGTTCATGCATTAACTCTACGTTACGCTAAGATCTCAGCTCTCGTCTCGCCCGCATCGAGGGGGAGTCATGTCAACTTCTTAATTCCTGTTAGTCCAAAGTTTTAATTCGCACTACTTATAGCCTGCAAGCTCCTTGACATCGACGTGCATCCTTTGTTAGGGGCCGAACTCTTTTCAAGTACGCTTAAATCGGCTAAGCCTTGGAAAAGCGGGCTCCGCTCCCGCTTATGCCTCCGCCCCCGCTTCCGCCACAACTCCTAATTGATATTTTATGTAACACTAATGAACGCCGATTAACCCCGCTGCAACACTGAGCTTGCCTCTCCCATTGATAAGCTGTAGATGTAAGAGCATGCTATACTAAGTAGGTTTCAGAGTTCATAAGTGTTCCAAGAAACCTACGTTCAAAATTATGTTTCGACTTATATTTTACGTATGGATCGATTGTGCCCACTAGGTGGAGCAGTCCGGAAAGTGAATAAGTATTATAAGCAAAAAAAAATGTATTCTGTTTATTTTGTTCAAATTACTATTACATTAACATTGTCCGTTACATTAATATACTCCGTTTTCATTTCTAAACAAACAAAGAGCACTGAAATTATTAAATGGACTGAAAAGTAATAATTTTAATGTTATATTACCTCTTTTACCGCGTTCAAACACTCAATACCTTCAAAGTGAAACGAGTAAAACAGCGTTTACATCCTATGGTATTACACAAGAAATTAATAAAGTCCGCCGCTATGGGGGCAGGATTTAATTGACCAGAGGGCTTGCGACCGTGATAATCCATGCTTAACTGCAGACTGTACGCGTTAACCTGAAACTACCCGTACCGCCCTGAAAACGCCCGCCAAAGAACTATCCAAACTTCACACTCGCCGTTCGGGTATTTCGGTTATTTTGCGCTAAGCCAACAGGAGGGCGCTGGGAGTGCCGCAGCGGCATTATTAAACGATTATTGTGCGGCAAAATTTATAATTTCGAATACGGCTCACGGTATTCAGTCGAACCGGGCACCCGGATAGTATTATGTAAATTCAATAACAGTGGGTGGAACCGAAGCTTTGTGTTGTTACAATTGATAGCGCGCGGTAATATTTTAGTATGTAGTATATTAATTAGTGGACATTTTCTCATTTTAAGAAAACGTTGTTTAGGAACGACTTGATGTTTTTTTATTTCTTGGTCTTTGAAAGTGATTTAATCGTTTATATGTCATATAAAAACAAATAAAGCTAATACCAAATAATGTGGCTCATATTGACTGATATTTATTGTACAATGAGAGCTATTAGATATATTCCGAATTTACATCTAACTGGGGTTATTAAAAAGCGCACGCCACGAGAAAATGAAGGCCACGAATATAATTATTAAAATTTCAAGCCGCCATCCTCGTTGTAAAAAATGCGCAGCGGAGCGGCGTGAACTATTTAATATCGGCTAAGGAAGCGCCTACAAAGAACATCGGTGAAAGCATCGACCGGTACAAAGCGGCCCCTGACGGCCGCTGCCAGACATGGAGCAAGGATTAATTATTATTTTAAACATTTCACTCGGTTTTTTGCCGCGTCCGCGAGCAAGTCAAAAGCATTGCACTCTCGCTTGAAAAGTTGCTAAATAATTAAGAAGCTTTCTTAACGACAGCGCTTCTACGTCCACGCTAAGTAGCAATTTTATTTAAGAGGCGGGCGAAAAGAATTCTAATGGAAGACACCCTTTTTCACGATCGACAGCCGGTATTTTGGCGGTTGACGGATTAATTTCGTACCGTTTACCCGACTGCCGAAGCAGGGTAATGTTTTTCGAGCGTATGTATGTATGTCTAATTCTTTGGCATGCTCTACATCCTAAACCGAGATTCGTATTAGTTGTGTTTGTAACATAGAAAATAAATAATTTCAATGGTGTCCGCGAATAATAAAAGTAGTTAATATTTTAATGCAGATGGGTTTTTTGTTTTCTTTAATTTATGCTTGTTTAATAGTAACATGAGCCGTCACGATATACAGCGTGTCGTTACAACTGCGAAAATAAATGAACACACGTCTAACACTACTTGCCAATTATCATAAAAATAATTAAAACAATATTTTTCAAACAAACTAATTAAGTAAAAAAGAAACAAAATTTGTAACATCCTATACAACTACAACTGACTGATTCATACATTCAGAGACTTTTTCATTCATTGCCACAGTGTCGCATTACAAGCCTCTCCTTCTAACAGTATGTTTTGTCTCTTTAAAATTCATTCAAACCATTCATATGCTTTGTGACCTTTACAAATGAACTTTACGTTACAGTTTTATACGTAAGGGTGTTCTAAAATTGTTTGTTTTGGAAAATTTAATAACTCTGTGGATATCAAAATGTAAATGTTTAATACTATTTTATAAAGTTATCCTCTATATGTGTGTTCATTTATTGTCGCGGTTGTAACGACACGCTGTATAATAATAGAGATCTGTAGGAACGTGCTTTGTAAAATAGTTAATATCATCGGGGTTATTGAGATACGCGACATAGCTTAAGATAACCCCTACCTAACTCATAATACGATGGGTCGTACTAACCTAACCTAACGAGAAAAAAACTCGCAAATCAGTGTACATCAACATCACCGCAAAACCTATAACCTTTTCTTATCATGTTGTCTTTTAATTTTAATTCGTAATGTGATCTGTTAAAATTATTAAGTCTAAGACTATTGATATGACTGAAGATCTAACTCACTTATTAAACGATAATAGAATCGAGTCAAATCACACTACGCCGCGTGGCTAATAATTTATATCGCTATTATACATAAACCTCATACCCATTACCGACGCACTGGGTTGTTATGACCTTTTGGTACATTTTTCTTTGTAAAGTTTTCCATGTAAATAAAAAGTTTATTAATTGTTTGTATGTGTGAAAATTATAAAGTTTATTTGTCAGTGTGTGTGGACAGCATATAAATTGCTTTTCTTTTGTTTTAGGTAAAACGCTCCCTGTTCACTGCGTGGTAGAGGCCGTTTCTTCTTTGGAGGAGGGCGCTTGGCGACGACGGGTGGTGGTAGAAACCGACAGCTATGTGATCATCCCAGCCGCCACCGCCTTCCACGAGCTGGTGCCCGCCGCAATGATGAGGCTGGGCTACCCTCACGAACTCGCAGCTTCGGCTAAAGGTTAGGAACTTCAAGCCGAACAAAATAAAATATATGCAATAAGAATTCGAGTTTTGTCTATATACGTAAACAAAATACTGCTGATGTGTATGTCAAAATACATCTGACGTAAATCTTCGTTGTCTACGGATTTCTCGATTAAATACTTGATGGATGTTTTATTCTGTCAGGATGAAAGCGTATAAAAATATCTAAAAGGTCTGTGAGTTGGAACATACAAAATGTTGTAAACCATTGCCGGCGCAATAAGCATAAAAAATTTCAAATTTTGGTAAAAGTTTATATCGAGGTATTCTATTTTACATTAGATAGGTACTATTCCATTCACAGAACCGAGGGGACAGCGTAACACGTGTCGTTTGTTTTAGGTTCAGTGGTCATAAACAATTGGAAGCCGCTGTCGTTCGAGAAGATTTCGGACGGGCCGCTCGCCACGGTCGGCGAGGTGTTGGGGGAGCTGACCACGGTCGCTACACTGCGGATCCAACTGTTGCGGCCGCGGCTCACCCCCCTGCAGGACATCAAGGACAAACTCCTGAGATTGCTGCTTGTACAGAGCAGACCCTTGTTGATGTCCACTGGATGCCCGTTAGATGAGGTATATACCATTTAAAATTGAAATTGTTTTAACTTCCTGAATGGCTAAATGATTTTGTTTATTATATTGTTGTCATATTTGTATTGTATGCTGTGAAGGAATGCTCTTTAGATTTGGAATATAACATAAAAATTGTAAATTGTTCTAACTACATATTTGTATTATATGCTGTGAATTTTCCAAATGAAATAAAACAATAAAATTAATACCATATTACTAAAGACATCTAGGTTTGCCCATATGGTTGTTTTGTATGCTACAACACTCGTAGGTACGATTTTGATAAAATTTGAATTGGAATATTGACTGGATATATAAAATACATTTTACCTTGTAAATGTTAAGCACTCAAAAATAATAAGAGATTGAAGCTTAGCATAAAAGCTTGTATAACACAGTTTTCTCATATAACATTAGTCTTGTAAGACTATATACAGTACCAACAAAATCGATAAAATTTCGACGTGGGCGCAGCTGAGTTATAAACGTTACACTTTAATGAGCTTATAATTATAAAGTGTAGCTTAGTAAGAAGCCGTACTGAGTAGTTTAGCCGCGAGAGTTGTTCGCGATATGCTTCACAGTAAACATCTGTTTGTTACCAACGTAATCTCGTGGGGTCGCTTCGGTTCGAGATCCGTAAACGGCTGTCAAACCGATATTCGTCAAAAGCGTCGCGTTATATTCGTCGCGACGAGTCCGCTACAGTGAGCTAAACCGCCGTTCACAATGTACCCGCGACGATGTAATGTTCTTTAATGCCCGATTGTTGTAACCCCGGCTTCGGGACAATGCGCCCCTCGCAGACTAAACCCACACCGCCCTTATTATCGTCCGAGTTATTGTTTTCCATATTTAAGCTCGCTCATTGAAACATTGCCCTTAGAATTTTTCGAACGCCGAACGGCCGAGTGTTATTCAAATTTTGCGTAGCAATTTACCAGCGTTGTTTTAGTGGAGTTTTTTAATATCAAGTTCCATTAAGCCTAAAGATTGGTAATTTATGTATGCTGGATGATTATTTTGTACATGTAAAGCCTTTTATGCGACTAAACATATGCAGGCGGTGAACATTTAGAATTCCATAACGTTAGTTCAGTTCTAACTATGAAACGTTCCTATTCCTCACAGAACGGTGCTAATAAAAAGCAGACTTAAACTTTGGTCTTGAAAAGAACCATCAATGTCATTCGCAGCAATAACATAAAGATTTTGCGACTGTGCTATCATGTGCTCGTATACACGAGTTATATTTTGTATACACAAAATATAATTTATATGAATTTCTGGACATATTTAAAAACAAAGTTGTTTAAAAACTGACAAACATACTATATGTCCATAACAATATAGTCTTTATAGAAAGAAAAATAAACTTGGTAGGTATCAATTAAAGATTATCGGAGCAGGTAATAAATATATTGAATCCCTTAAACGTTGGCAAGCTTTTGTTGCGAATAAATTCATCTTGAAAGCGTTCGCCAAAACGTCAAATTAATGAGAACAAGCTCACAACAGGGCCGGATTTGAAGAACTCGCGATGGAGACAGATTATCAAACTCTCGCTTAAGTAGACGGGCTCGTGTATTTCGTAGGTCGTTATAATTTGCGAGGTTACGCTTAAGTCCTTGCTAATAAGGATCATCAGTCGAGGGAAGAATTAGAGTGGTATTTGTTTGGCTGTTCGCGGCTGTTCGACGTCTTAAAGCAACGCGAATGGTTGCCATGAAAACTCGCTAATTTAAGCACTTTATGTTGATGTTTGTCTTTCTTTTTTCGTTATTATTTTACGTAATACATCTCAGTGAGAACATAAAAATTGGGTAGTTAATGGCGCAATTAATTTGTTATTACGATTAATTTAATTACCGTATAGACATTGAACAAAACTATTGCAAAGGATCCTGCATTTAACTAATTGTGATGTTTGCTAATCAGCTATGGGAATCATATTTAAACGGACGATTATGATCAGTAGTCGAACAGGCAATACTTAGGTACACAAAGTTATGACATTTTTGGAAAATTCTGTGTAAAGCTTTTCAAATTTACCTATTACCTATATCTACATATGACACAATTAAACGTATTATTATTGCAAAAAGACGTTTTTCTCAGTTTGTTTGTTTATTATCAATTTTGGAACATAATATCAAACACGAATTTATTACAACAGTTGATGTCACGGCGTAGCGGGAAGCAAATTACATGCTCAAATTTGTCTATAGTATTCAAATAAAACAACAGGCGGGCATAAATTTGTGTAAGCGATGAGCATACCTGCCTCACCTTACCTCATACACGAGATCTCCATACATAATAAATTTAATTGAATCTCAGACTCATCCGCGCCTCGCGCCTTATTGTAATTTTCTAAATATACACCTTGTTGCGAACGGGTTAGGGCGCGGGGGCCCTCCTTACCTACTCCAGCCGGGGCGAAAGAGGGTTAAAAGGAGTTTTAGATGTACGAACGCTTTTGATCTTATTAATACCATAAAATAATGCTTTATAATCTTATTAAACGCGAGGTTAGCGCTCGATGCGCGCCCTTGCCGTGGCTTAAGCTTCGGCGTGACGAGCCGCGATTTCAATTTGGCGCTTTCGGAAATAACCGCGTGGTCCTGAAATGCGTTCTCCGACCAAGGTTTGTCTAAGATGGGCGTTTAAATTATCTAAACATTAGCATTTAAATGGTGAAAATAAATTGCATGTTAATCTAATGCATTCGATACAGTAACTTTATACAATTTGACTCATCTATAAGTCGTTTTTTCATATAATCTTTAAATATAGCTTTATCCTTTGAAATTAAGTAAAATTCTCTCTAAAAGTTTTGAGTAACAGTTATTCCATTTCGAACAAAGTAACGAGTCGAAGGAAGTTGTAGCAAATGAACCAAATAAACTCCCCAACGGAGCTGATAATCAACCAACTCCAACTCAAAAGTTAGTAGCTAAACGTCAGATGAACGACTATGGCGTTATGGTAATTTATCACGCCAATTTGTGGCCACAAAGTATTCCCTTTAACTCGTAACAAACTTTGGAAAATTACAGAATCATAAACGGGCGGATAAAAAAATTGTTACGAGAATCGTGCTTATTAATTTATTAAACATTACCCATTAATTCCATTAAACGCGCATCATAAAGTAGCGTAAGTAAACACTATGAAAATAATATCTGATAAGGTTAAGCCTATTGTGTTCAAAGTCGTCCTTTTAAACAGTACCTAGAGAATGTTCGCAATCACACACCGAATTACGTACTTAGACGGATTACACGTTGACAAAGTTATCGCGCGCAGGCGCCAGCTCTCGTAAATCTTGCGCGCAGCTGAAGCAGACAATATCTGAGAACAAATATGACCGCACTATTTAAAAACATAAAACAAAGAAGCGGATTAACGTATCACTCCGGCTAGGTGCTAACGCCGCTCAACTGACATGATTTATAGGCACAATCTGGATGTGTGACGCTTACATTTATTTACACGCGTTTGATTTGGCAACGCGCAATGCAAACTGTAGGGAGTGACAGCCCGCTTGACGACGTAATCGCTGGCATTGTCGTGTGTAATCTAGCGATACGGACAGATCTTACTTGCATAACTGCCGAGCTAAACAAACACGCCAGCGGGGCCGTAATCTGACAAGTTCTTTTATGATTGACTACTAGCTGATTAATGTCACATCAAATGTGCACCTAGTGACGGTACAACGTGTAAACAATTGTGAAATCCAAACGTATAGTTATATAGCAACTGAGCCGTCTCCACAATTTGTAACAAACAGTCGAAGTAACGGCGGTGAGGATGTACGTTCCTAATCGAGTTACCGGGGCGATACCTTTAACTTGAACCACTTAGGCCGTGTTGGTACGCCGGCGTTTTGTCGAAGGCGAAGTGGGTGGATGCTAATTGTTAAGACGCCCTTCCCGCTCATTGTTTTAGAGCAGCCCATGATTGAAGTTTCGGCGGCGCGAGGCTCGAGTGATGTGCACTAACCACCGTGCAAACAGCTCGAACCGTCGGCGCCCGATCGCTCGCGCATGACACATACATTAACAGCCGGCCTAATATTTTCATAATCTAATGGCGATGTTCTGTGAAACAATGCAGCGTGTTTATTCAAGAAATTACCTCTGTATCTGTTGCTGGTTAGACTGACCTCTTTAAAACCATCTAAAAATGTTTGCGGTACCTTTTTTGTGTTTACTGTTCAATCTAGTGGCGGTCGAAGATTTTAAACGTTGTTTTCTGTTGCAGTTCACATTGGCTCAGATTTGTAGAGGGCAAGACCGGACACCGGGCCCTCACAATTTTCACGAACCTACGGAGGACATGCGTCGGAAATTCGAATCCTGGTGGAGTGCCCAAGTGTCTCCAAGGCAACCACATTACAGTCCGCGCCGCTACCCTTCGCCCGGCCCTAAAAATCGCTCACCAACACTGAACGCCATACCGGATCACTTGCATCCGGCACTTCAAACGGTTCAAAACCAATATCCAACTCAGAAAACAAGGATGAGGACTAGTTTCGATCCAGAGTTGGAGCTGCCGAAATTGCAGCGATGGTTTTCCGAAAACCAACATCCTAGCCGACAACAAATACAACAATATGTGAGGGAGTTAAACAATTTAGAATCAAGACGAGGACGGAAGCCCTTGGATGTGAACAATGTTGTGTACTGGTTCAAAAACGCAAGAGCTGCGCAGAAGCGCGCAGAACTGCGCAATATAGGTGGATTAGGCTGTCACCTTGGCGTAAATGGTTTTAATAGCAGAAGTCATAGTCCATCTAACGGCTCTATGATGGCAAGTAATGATAATTATGCCATGCAAGATCGCAGCATGAAGAGCCCCATGCAGATGTCCGGCAGTCCCGGTAGATATCCAATGTCTGTTATGTCGGAAGATAATTTATCCAACGCTGGATCTGATTTAGAAGATGACGGAGGGGAACTAAACCCGGATGACAGAGCAGAAAGCCCGGATGCCCCATTGTCTCTTATCACAACCAAGAAGAATAACAACGACGAAGACATGTCCAAAGAATCCCCAAAGCCTCCTGATATTATCAAGGTAATGCTCTTTGCAAGTTGCTAATGAAATCAAAATAAATTGTCAAAATAGCATGATCTTAAATTCGATTCTTATTTTACAGGTGCATGATATCAAACAGGAACCGCGTGATCTGGTCAGATCTGATCAACCTAATTCGCCCCAGCGTTCGCCCGCTAAGAATAGCGATAGCTCTCACAACAACAACAACAATGTTGAAGAAGAAAATGGAGTGACGGACGACGTTGCCTCCGACGATGAGGTGGTTCAGGAACGTCATTATCGCCCCACATCTCCACACCTGGATCGTTTACCATTCCCCATGGTACCAAATCATCCGATGTTCGGCCACGGCATCATGTATATGAGTCAGTACATGAGCGGCTTCCCTGGCGTCGGACCAGTGCCTGGAGAAGGCGCTAGTGGTTTGAACCTAGCCCTCGCAGGGGCTTCTGATGAAAGACGCAAGCGTAACCGGACTTTCATCGACCCCGTTTCGGAAGTGCCTGTTCTGGAGCAATGGTTTTCCATGAACACCCACCCGTCGCACAATCTCATTTTGAAATATACGGAGGAATTGAACAGGATGCCCTACAGGCAAAAGTTTCCGCGCCTTGAGTCAAAAAATGTGCAGTTCTGGTTCAAAAACAGACGGGCGAAGTGCAAACGGCTGAAGATGTCACTGTACGAGCCCTCATCGCCCAGCCACTACTCGCATCCCGGGCACCCTCACGCCATCTCTGAACGGAAAATGGTTTAAACGGTATACGTTACTGGCACAAAATGCCTGGTAGCAAAGTTCGTAACGAGTGATCTTGGAGTTGTATTAACGCTTGTGATTAGAATCATATTTACCCGTTTCTAATTTCAGTGTGTATTACGAAAGACTGAATTCGAATCGTTTATGGTGTGTAGTGCCATGTTAGTATTAAAACACATTGGTTACTCTGTACAGATCGTATTATTAGAATGTTTATACATGTATTATTGCGGAGAAAGGCGTTGTTATAAGAGTTAACATTCCCTATCAATTAGGAAACGCTCACAGAGTTTCAAATTTCATGTTATTCAAACATTCGTAAAATCTCGCTGCTTACAAATTAAATTTTAAAGTGTAGACAGCGTAAAGATCGGTCGCAACATGTTGCTTCACACTTCTATGAATGAATCTCACGTGTTAAGCTGTATTTTAAATTTGTATATAAATAATGTAGTTTTAGATTTATTTATTATATATCACAACAGTTGTAAATTGATATGATATAGCTAATGCCTGTATGAATAGAACTTCTCACCAAATGTTAATCGTGAAAAATTCTTAGCATCACTTAGACTGTGTATCTATAGAATGAGAGTTACTTTTAGAATGGTATTAAATGTTATAATAATATGTAATTAATGAGTCATTTATCATAGATTATACGTATGTTAAAATTGTATTGCGCATAGAGTAGAGCGTTAAAATTATACGGACGAAAAGTTTTTTAAACTTCGTCTATTAAGAAAGACGCAAAGCTTGGACAACATCGGTGTTAATGACCTCATTGGCCTGATGATTATGTTAAGAGTTAAGGCCATATATTACGCACATTCCTTATTTCGCTGTAGGTGATAATACTTCCACAATCCAAAGATTGGTTAGTGTTACAGATATAACATGTAAGACGTTATTACCGAACTCATAATTTTACTTTGAACATTAACTGATTCTGGCGCCTCTTTTAAATAAAGCAGAATAATAAAATAAAACTTTCGTGAAATTAAATTTACACTCAATCCTATCAAAGTATAAATGTGTAAATAAATTAGTAAACATAAATAAGATGAAGTGTACCTAATTTCAATCTTTTCCCTCTAATTATTATGAAATTAAAATAAATTAGAGACAGATTTGATACGCCATTAGGTAGGAAGCAACTTGGCGGCAAATATGTCTTCACTAGGTTATCGCGCCGGAGGCAGCTCTTATACAATGATCCAATATAACAGTATTTGCGCATTTACTCATGGAGGCTGTAATACAAAAACTTCGACTATTGTTTTGTAGTTTTTAACATTCATCGCTAGATATATTTCCAATCGCATTGTTTTGTTGTTTCCATGTTATGCTTGTTTTGTGAAGCTGTGATGATACTCCCAAATAATGTAAATATATTATTATTGTTAAATTAAGGTTTCTATTGTAATTCGTCACTAGGCTCACTCGGACAATTAAGCGTTTACTGCTTAGTTAACGAAAAATAATTGGCTAAATGTTTATTCCATTCAATTATAAACGAAAGATTAAATGAATATAGTATCAACAATTCCAAGTGACTTTTCTTTTTATATATCTTTAAATCGTTATTAAAAACCTACCAACCCTATTTTAAGTTTATTCTTATTTAAATATGAAGAAAAATAAGACAGTACGGTATTATGACTGTGAGTTGTCAATACTTTAAAATGAAAATATACACTTTCCTCTTGGTTTTTTTTTCTATGTAAAGTGTTGGAAGCGTTAACAGGCGCTGCAAGGACTGTAAGTGAATACCGTCGCCAATAGATATCTGCAACACCTAGTGGGTTTCGGATGTGTTGCCTATATTAAAAATTGGCCCTCGGTTACCACTCACGCCAGACGAAACGCGAAAACATAATAATTCCACTTTACACCAGTCTTCTGTCTGGCTGTGGTACTTCTCCTCTTGGACGAGCCAGCCCTTTCGTACAGTTATTTTCATTATTTCAGAAAATACTCGTATGATATAATCCGATAAACGCATTTTCTAATATAATTAAATAATGAAATATAACTTTAAAACTGTTTCTATAACAAAAGACAAACGATGACATGATAAGTTAATAACGAATTATTTTCGAAATCAATTCGATTAATGTGTTACACATACATTTATTTTCTATAAATTTGCATGCACACACATATACATAATTTATATAGTCGACAATTAATCAATAGACATATCAAAAATTAAATATTAAAAGCATCATATTGACACGTAAGATTGGATTGTTGATTGTTAATTTAAGTTAGTTGTAATAAAGTAAACGAATACCTAAAGCCACTTAAAGAAAATACATTGAATCGCTTTTCCTTACAACTTAATAAAATGTTTTTGAAGTGTAAATATGTTTTATATGTGTCCAAAATTTAAGGGAACCGTCAAACAATGTAAACGATAAGTCTATCAGGTAGACCGATTTGGTCCGAGCCATAGACGCAAGCGGAAGCGACCGGCGGCTGACAGTTGGTGGACCCGAATCACCTGTCAAACTTACAAGTATTCCTGCAATCGCCGGCATCTACAGACGTCTTTGTCGCGTATTCGATCTTCACCCGTTTCCGTAGACATTTCGGCTGATACGGAAACAGGAACTTAAGATGCAATGTTAGCCGCGGTGTTCGATATTACTGTTTGAGTTAACAATTAGAGGCTTCTACTTAATTGACAGTAATCGTCGCGCATAAAACAAGAAATTATATCCTTAGCTGTTTTATGCATACAATTTATCTATCAGATTTTAGCTTATGCCTTCCGAGTCAAGGGTTTGATGCTTGAATCTTTATAATCAGTTTTCGTACAACAAGAATAAATATTGTCTATTTTTTGTGTTATATAGTATGATATAGGCATTTAATCTAAAGGCAATATAGAGTTTGTATTTCTGTTTATGGGGAATTAGGTTACTCTCCCTTCAACTTTTCACAATTTTAATTACTCTTCTTTGTTGTAATATTGTACTCTAATAACATTTCATGACAATTTTCACCTTCCTTGTATATGAAAATAATAAAAGTTCATTAGAGAAAACTACTAAACTTAATGTTCCACAAGTCCCTTTGTAGTGTTACAATGTAATGTTTAAAATGCATAAATGCAATATTTGATTAATAGATCGAACTGAGACGGGAGAAATATATCGTTATAATTTGGATCAAGTTGTTGATCAAAATCGACAAGTGGTCTTTTCACGTAATTAATATAACACTTATATACTGGTGTATAGAGTAAATTCATCTAATAAGAGCCGTGATAGCTCAGTGTCCGGGCGCTCAAATGTAATTCAACATACTCGAGCAACCCGAGTTTGATCCCCGGTTCCAGCACCAATGAAGTTTGTAACTTTAAGCGCTGACTTATCACGTGCTCTGCGGTGAAGGAAAACATCGTGCGGAAACCTGCATATTTTCGATATAATAACACATACGATATAAACGATAACGATATAAAAAAATATTTTTCGAAGGTATATAAAGTCCGCCAATCCGTAGTGGGGCCGCGTGGTGAACGCCCTGATACCCTCTGTATAGAGGAGGCTTTTGCCCAGCAGTGGGGATGTATAGGCTCACGTCTGAACGCATCTATATAAATTTTAACTATTAATGTAGGTACACAACAATTACACCCAAACTGCTCATTACATCATATAATAATGAATTAAGGAACATGTAAATTATATATAAACTACTCAGATCAGATAACATTTTCTAATTAAGAAAGTTCTGGATGAATTTTAATTGCACGATCACATATCATTAATACAAGGAGGTATAACTAATGTAAGATGTATATTCGCGTGAAATAACGAACTGCAGTGAAGACAAAGGCACAAAAACGTTTGAGAACGATGTACCTAATATGGATTAAGCCAATTAAAGAGAGATTTGTCCGTCGCTCCGCGGAACATTTTCTTTGATTCGAAGACTCGCCTGCGATTCTTATCCAGTAAGCCTTCTTCACCGTGTCATTCTACTTATTATATGGATTTCACTGTTAATATTTAAGAAAAGAAAGCGCTGTGTTTAAAAAAAAATAAAAAACAATTACGGCCTCACTCAGACTCCAAATAGAAGTACACCAGCAAACATTCAATATTAAACTTTACTCCTTAAATGTTTAACGATACAATTTTAATTATTGTGAGTCTATATTATTTTCCTCATTGTTTACAAAAAAAATGTAAGTACTCATTCAATTCAATTCAGCTCACTTCATAGTTTTACATTCAAATATTTAATCGAATACAATGAAACATGTATATAGAGCATAAAATTGACACAGACTATATGCACACTATAAATACAATATTGAAATTATATATTGTATGAAGAATGTATATTTTAGGATTAATTATTATTTTAGTGCTCGTACACACAAGATGAAACTTTAACTGTAAATTTTTGTACAGGAATTAAAAAAAACTTGCGAGATACTGCGCGAATCCAGAAGACGAGGTTCGAAAGTTATTGTTTATTCATCTACAAAAATTTACAGTTAAAAGAATATACATGTTTTATAAAATATTACAAATGACATGGCATGACATGTATTGAAATGACATGAATTATAATTATATTACAAAGATAAGTAAGATGAATGCAAATATCTATTTCGAGTCACTTTGCTACCAAGATTTTGTCAGGCGCAACTGAATTAATCATATTATACTTTGCATTCAACAGACCAAAGCGGTTAAAATGTTATGAAAATAGACCTACGACTAACCAATAAACTTTCAAATATATAAGTACCTAAATAATAGTATCTGTAACTTTTAAGTAAGTACTTGGTGTTTTTTTCCTACAATAGAAGGAACTTGAAAGACAAAGGGAAAAAAAGGGTCTTCTGGTTTCGGGACCGCCTTGTATCGTTGCGAAAACCCCAGAACCCCCCCTGCGTACTAAATTTCATAAAAAAATACTATTATACTATTTTATCAAACCCAAAATACATTGTTCATATAATAAGCAACGCA